TCAGATTCAATCCCCAGACAACCGTTAGAAACTTGAAAAGGCAAAGTAATGAAGCAGTTCTCCACATTTACATTTATAATAATCATCAGAGCAGCTGACATCTCTGCTCAGAAAAAAATGCAACCCAATCACCAGAGTATATGTTGGTATTGTAGGTATACATATGTACATTATTATGTTGCAGATATGTTGAAACTGAACATGTTGTTATGTTTCAGCAATGCTGTGGTCAATGTGTGGTTATGTTTAGGCACAAAAACCACTTGGTCATGTTTTGGACTTGCCTAAGTCTCACACCATCCACCATCCCATCACATACAATCAGAACTGTCATTTTAAAAACATTGATATAATACTTATGACATGAACAAACGTAATGTATCTGTGTTTTGCAGAAATGTACAATGCCAGTATTTTCCTCTGGCGACTGCTCACTTTTGTATTTAATGAACAAACAAACAGACGGCTGTAGATAGAACATGAGAGCTCTCATCTTTCTCGCTGTATTTTCTTTAAATTACAGGACAAATCATCCAGTGCTTGTTATTTCAGGATTCAACATGCATTTGCTAAAAGTCATACTGTACTTTGGCAGTAGTACTAAAGCAAAACACTGAGGTGGTGATTCACCACTGTAGTTTATGTGTGTGACAGATTTTGTACTAATATTGTTTCTAAGTACTCTGTAAATTCGGTTTAGTCAGATGAATGACAGCAATGTATTTCAGTTCTGTCATATTTCTGTGTGACTGACATGGATTTATGTTCCCAAAATGTCTGTGGTGTGATAAACCTCATTTGGTATGTAAAGAAACGCTGAGAATTATTTGTGAATAGCAGCTGATCCGAGCCTTGTGCACGCAGGAGCTTCTTTTACAGTTGTTGTGAGTCAGCCATTAGTCATCACTCAGACTCATTTTTACTCAAATGTGGGTAGATATCTTTTGAAATGTTTTTATTAGCATAATGAAAGTAAAACGACCAAGTGTCAGTGCTAAACAACACTTTTCAGATATCTTGCGGTGTGAAATCTAAAGATTTTTTTCTACAAAAAAAATTCCCTGAATGCAAAACCTTCGCCTATAATAGAGAACTATTTAGATTTGAACCATCGGGTCGAGCAACAAGTACAAACAAGTAAACCAGATGCCAGCTTTCAGTACTTAACCTTTTCCAGGTAGGTAGGTAGCTAGATAGATAGATAGATAGATAGATAGATAGATAGATAGATAGATAGATAGATAGATAGACTGGTGTTGGCAGAGATGGGCGCAATCCACATACTTAGCTCTGCTGCTCATCCCACAAATGCATATTCCTTACTAGACTCACAAGTCAGTCTTTAGATGCTTTGCTTAACAATTTCAGAGTTTAAAAAAACTCCCTACATTGCAGAACCAATAGTAAATCAGCAGGGAGGTCCTTCGGTGGCTCGCTGAACTCTTGTGCTTGTAAACATAGTCCAGCTGCATTAAAAGTTTTAAACAAAGTGGCTGTAAGACCTTCATTTCCACAATCTTGTAGACTGAGCACACGTTTGATAAAACAGAGTTAAATCTTTCGGCATCCATTTTTAAGCTCTCTGTGTGTTTGTTTCCTTGCGGACGAGAAAAGGGGGAGCGCACGTCTCCGGGAGGGCGTGTCCTTTTAAAAAATGCAAGAGGCGTTGCTGGTCGTTTTCTCCGGTGTGTTAAACACACTTTAGAAAGGAGTGTCCCCAGACTATCAGAAGGCGGACATCTCTGATTGTCTGGTGGCGAGACTAGTTCCTTACAAATGTGGAAGGGAAATAAACAGGCTTTACAATGGTCTACAATTTATTGCCAAGAAGCATTGTTTCAGCAAAGAAATAATCTACCAAACACAAATGTCTTCCAATATATACGATACAAGAGTGCAAATAGGCAGGCCCATCTTATAAAAATAGTAGTGTTCCCTAATGCAGTTATTCTGTGTCTATTGCCTGTACAGCATAGAGAATAAAGGACTTATTATACATGTTCCAAATGGTTCTTGGGACCCTAAATCGATGCCCAGATGGGAGCAGCTCAAACTCTGTGTGTAATGTATGTGAGGCATTGCTAATTCTATGTGTGGCCTTCCTGTGTACAGCATTGTCAAATATGTTGCTGAGTTGTTGTCATCTTCCCTACAATGTTGACAATCTTGGAGAGCTTGTTTTTGCTCCTCGCGCTCGGGGTTGCCGTACCATGCTGTAATGTTGATGATAAAAAGTTCAGGACCTTAACACCAGAACTTCAGGGGCGGCATTCACAAACATTCTGAGAGTACTCACAGGGAGCTCCTAACTTAGCCTAAAAACTTTTATAACGAGTCCCTTCCTTGCTAAGAGTTGCTCTGAGAACTTTCCTAATCACTTCTAAGCTAGGACAGAAACTTTTACCATAGTGAGGAGGTGTGGTTGACCCTGTTGCTAGGTGTGATGCATTCTTTTAATAGATGTGATTGGTTGTCACAGACACACCCCTCTGTGAGCCTTCAAGGTGTGGACACCCAGTGGAAATGAAATGACGGCTGACTGTGAAAGTGTTGTCATTGTTAGTGTGATCACTCGGCTGATGGAGGGTTGAGACAGACACAAGTCATCACTGCTGCACTGTTGCATTTTTCCAGTTTTCCAAATATGTTCGTTTCGTGATCATTTTATTTCTGATGTTAAAGCGTGTGCGTATCCCTAATGACATCAACCATATAATCCCTGCACGATCTCGTCTGTAGCATTTCATTTACTCCCTGTCATCCAGTGGCTGAAAAATATTTCTCTGACCTCTTTGTGTTTCCACCATTTTCTCCTCTGATTGAGAAACTCTTAAGCCTCTTAAATGTCCTCCTCCCTGCTCCTAACAGTTTTTCACCTTCGGAGCTCTTTTAAGGTCTAAGATGCTCTTCGAATAACTTTTATCTTAACAAGGACCTAGTCTTAATTTTAAGGGGAAATTCTAAGAAAATGTCACAGTTCCAAGATTATTTTTAGAATGTCATCACTAGGAGCAACTCTTAGTACTAGAAAGCTTTGTGAATATGGCCCCAGGTTCACAGCCAGACTCCTGTCTTAGGTTGAGGCAACAAAAGCACTTTGGTTAAGTTTAGGGAAGGATCATGATTTTAGTTAAATGTTAATAAAAAAGGTGGAGATGCTGTGTTACAAGATTAGAGCTACAAACCAGGACACTATACAGGACTCCACCTCCACCAGTCTTAGAGAATGGGACTGAATGAGTGAATCTCAGACAAGCCATTGGATGAATGATGGATTTCAAATAGTGCTGAATCGCACCAGAGCATCAAAGAGTGCTAAAAACTGGGCAGACACTTGCCTCCATAAATTTCCCAGATATATGCAAACACACTCTTCATTTTTCATCCCCCCCCCTTCTCTCTCTGCACCCAACATGCATGTGTGAATGTTTAAATGGTTCTGCATTCATCTGTGTCTGATTTCGGACCTGTAATAGCTTTAAGTTTACTGCATGAGACAGGAAGTCATCTTCTGAGCTCAAAATACAAGTATATTTTAACATGCTGTTGCATGTTCAACACTCTGTGGGTTTTCTTACTCATTGCTCATCATCACTGTCAGTTTGTCACTTTCACACTGGAGGCAAATTTGTGTACAGCTCCTGAGCTATAGCTTATGCATCAAGCTGTGAGTAAGAAAATTCAAAAATATGTGTTAAATTCGAAAATATATTGATTCACAGCATAACGAGTGAGTTTTTTGCCTAAGACATGATATCACCTGAGGAGGCTGTCCTGCTGTGACCCAGCGCAGTGCATGTTATGAAATGGTGTCATTACACTTCACAGTATTGTACCTCAAAAAGCCCTGAACAACATGGTGAATGGAGGAGAGCTTAACAGTATGAAAAGCACTTACTTTCTCAATGCAGCATGAAGGTTTCGAGGCCCTTATTTCATATTACAGTGTAGAGGGGCTTTCATAATGGACTCCTCTCCTCTCTTCCTCTTCTTTCCAGGGCCAAAACTGCATCTCTCTGCATACTAAGCAGGGCCCCATACGGCCCAATTTGCACCGCGCAATTTACTGGTGTCGCTTCACATTTGTTGGAGGAAAAGCTGAGGCCCTTTTCCCTGATCCTCACACTGCAGGGAGGGAGGGAGGAACGGAGGGGGGCACAAGAGGGGGGTGAGGATGAGGAGGGGAACCGGAGGTGGCTTAGCTGACAGATCGAGCCTGAACCACATCAACTATACATGCATTTTGCACATATTCAGATGTACGCACATTTTCACACCAACATCTCTCCGCGCATAGACAATCCAGCAAAGCCTCACACACATCACATTTCAAATGTACAGCTCAGAGTCGCACAGCTAACCCCCAGACAGATGAGGGGCGATAGATGAGAGAGATGAAGGGAGAGAGGGAGGAAGGGATGGAGGGATGGGTGGAGGGAGAGTCGGTGTGCTGACAGGACTGTGACAGGGCTTAATTACCAGGCGAGCGCTGTGCACTGGAAGCAATTTCTAAGGATTGTTGTCATTTGAATAGATTAAAACGCCCTTTCACTGGTCTAAACTGTCTCACCGCCGGCTTGCCTCTGCTGTGGATTAAAAGTCCAAGTCAAATCAAAGAGAAGAAGACACAGAGAGAGATGGAGGGATGGAGATGGAGATGGAGAGGAGTGTCACAGGGGGTTCTCAATGCAAGATAGCACTGAGGAAAGAAAGAAAGAAGGAGAGGGATATATAGATCCTGTGTGCTGTAAGGCAGGAGCAATGTGCTGTGTGAGGATACAACAAGAAATAAAACAAAATAATGGTCATAGCCCTAAATCCTCCCACTCCTTTCCTGTGCAGTGCTATCCTTCGCACCTGTCTGCTGTGGGAGTTTAACGATTTTTAAAAAACGCATTTCTCTTTTCATATGGATTACCCTTTGACTGTCTTTTTCAATTACCTCCCCCTTCCTCTTCCCAACCCCCCCCCCCCACACACACACACACACACACCTGCAGACACTGAGGGCTGCGAGCACACATGGAGGAAGTTCCACGGCCACTGCTACAGGTACTTCACCCGGAGACACACCTGGGAGGATGCCGAGAAAGACTGCAGGGAGCACAGCGGCCACCTGGCCAGTATCCACAGTCTGGCCGAGCAGAACTTCATCAGAGGTGGGTGGAGGGTGAGGAGACAACAGGGACAAGGAAAGACTTGGCACAGACAGTGCAGCCTATGCAAATGTTCCCCGGTGTTCTTTTCTAAACGGATTTCACAGCAGGAAGTCTGAAATTAGGCGGATAAGTCCTATTCATTTTTAATGTTAGGTAGCCGCTAGTTGGAGCATTTCCACGTCTCTAGGAGCATAAAAATCTCCTCAAATATTGTGTCTATATCGAGGAAAGGATCAGACTTTAAAGTAATTAAAGTCATTAAAAAATGACACTTATGGAACCAGCGGCTTTCCCTATTTCACAACTCAATAACTCAAGAAACATCTGGTGACTCTCGCAGCCACCAATCACCACTCACTTTAAATAATAACCGTCAGGTCTTTATTATCTAATCTTAAATAATCTCCCTCTGCTGTCTGCCTGCAACACACTGCTTTTACTAGCTGTTGATTGATATCTACTCTTCTACCTTATTATTACCATACTTGGCGATGGCAGCTCTCGCCTTATGTGTATTCCATAACTCAGTGATAAATGGCTGTCTGCCGCTTCTCCGAACGGCCCTTGAAGGGGTTTATTGCGCTCCCCGCTGAAAAACACCCTCAGGAGCCGAGTCTGTTCAGCCAAATAAATGTGTATCGCCGTTTGTTGCAATGAAAAGGTGCTATAGGCTGTGATGTAAGTGTCTGTGACAGAACATTTAATATACTATCATATTCTTTCTTAGGATGTGATTTTTCTTGAAACAGGTGAAACATCCCCACAGTGGGTGAGGTAACTGCGTTTGTGTCCAGTGAGGGAAATGCCAGTGTCAGTGTGTCGACACCGGATTAAATAAGACCAGTGTAAAGGCATAAATGCCATTTGTGTTGATTTGTGTGAAGAGATGTGAAACTGTCACATGCCATGGGCTGTGTCTCTACATTTTTATTTGGAAAGATACGATTTGAAGACTCTTTGTTAGATTCAATGGTTGTCATGTGCGGCAAAGTCCACCCACCTGGTATTTTAAGCATGTTCTCCTGAATTATTTGCAAATGGTATTTGATTATTTTTTTTTATTTTTTTTTTTTCAAATATTCATACAGTCTGTCTTTAGTGCCTCATAAGACTTCATCTTCTCACTCTTAGTTTTCCGCCCCCTGGTAATGCTCCACATCCACACGTGTTGTAATAAGGCCAGATCACCAGCAGCAATCTTCTGTAATATTGGATCCACCTTCTGTCTCGGACAGATGCCAGGACAGTACCATCCGTCTAGCACCCATCTTTCTTCCACAGGCGCACAGTTACCAAAAAATGTGTTTAATTGCCTCGAAAATGGATGTCTCCACCCCTGCAATAAGGGGATCAGAGCCATTAGGAAGATTAATGGGCCTAGTAATGATGTTAAGCAGATACACTGATGATTGAAATTCCATTACATGTGTGCATGCACACGCACGCGCCCGTACAACCGTGCACAAAGACGCCCCCAAACACACAAATGAGATTAACCCAAAACACCATTAGTGATATTTCCTTTCGCACAAACAAAAATCTCATCACCAGTGCATCAGAGGCAGAAAGTATATCTCCATTATTGTTGCAGAGGGAAGATCTCTTAGCCGTGCCAGCTGCCTTTCAGCAGTCGGGCTTCGTGTGCACAGCTTGTTGCACAAAGCAAAAACCTACAGCTCAATATGAAACAATAATGAGCACTTCACAGCTAAAGTACAGCAGAGATCAGTTTACCAGTCACAGAAAGAACTGCTGAACCTGTGAAAACAGTTGGAGGTGCTGTGTGACATCTGAGAAAATAATTCTGATGATGTCACATGGAGTTATTGTCTAATTTGCAAATTACATCATTTGCATTTCGGGAAGTATAGGAGCACTTTTGGAGTTTGATTCAACCGGCAGCAGTGTGGCTTCAACCACAGGTGCTTTTCCCACGCACATCAGCTTTCTGTCTCATCACTTGCAGCCGTAGCAGCCAATAGCTTCGAGGAGACCACATTTCATTGAGAGAAAATGACTTTCTTTTTCCCGTTATGATTTCAGTGTGAATGCAGCACCAGCCTCAGGTAGCCAGCTGGAAGCAGATGGGTTACCGCGAGGCAAAATATCATGGGAGTGTAGTAATAGTTGCATAAAAAAACCCAAAATGAACACTGTAAGCAGACTATACTTAATTATATAGGACAATAATTTAAACAGCATTTATATAGGAGTGATTCTGGTCGAAGCTTTTTGATCTGTATAAGGGGTTGATTCACTGTAAGTAGTTTGCATTGTTTCTAATGCATTAAAGGGAATTAAACCCCATTTTTCTGTGTGTAAAAATTTTATTTGGATTTTTCTATTCAGAGGAAAAGGTGCAGAGTTACAGGTGTCATCTCCCACTCTGAACTCCCCTCCCCAATGCCACCTTCCCTCCCGTCCAAGGTCAACATACATAAATACATACATGTACATTAAATTAGCAAACAGTAGACATGAAAAAGTGTCTAAAATAGACTGTACGTACAGGTTCAGGTTCAGGTTACTTTATTGATACCCAAGGGTAAACTAGTTTCGCAGCCGAGAGTCAAAACATCCATCACAGTTTGAACAATCAAAACAAAACATAAAACATAGAATACAAGAAAGAAAGAAACTGACACAAACAATCCAACAAACAAAACAAGACAAACAGAAAAATAAAACTGTCCAAGATGCAAGCTTAGAAAATGGTCAGACTCTGAATTCTCCCCTTTAATGTCATTCATTCGTTCATTTTCCGTAACCGCTTATCCTCTTAGGGGTCGTGGGGGGCAGGAGCCTATCCCAGCTGACATAGGGTGAGAGGCAGGGTACACCCTGGACAGGTCACCAGACTATCACAGAACTGACACATAGAGACAGACAACCATTCACACTCACATTCACAACTACGGACAATTTAGAGTCACCAATTAACCTGCATGTTTTTGGACTGTGGGAAGAAGCTGGAGTACCTGAAGAAAACCCACACTGACACAGGGAGAACATGCAAACTCCTCACAGAAGGGCTCCCACACCCCAGGGTTCGAACGCCCCACCTCTTGAATGCCTTAGCCATATAATTATGGTGGTTAAAGGGCACCAGGTCATTTTCCTTTTGGAAGAGGAGGTTAAGCTCAAGCAAAAGACAAAGGAGAGATGCAAATTCTATAGCATTTTTTTGATGAGCAAATAAATTCTACTCTGATTTTGTCGCACCGAAAATGGTAGGGATAGGGCTGGGGTCAAGTGTTTTACCACACTCACATAAGTGGGATTCAAAAATGGAATTCCAAACCCGAATTTTCTAGACATGTCTGTTTTCGTGTTGTACCCACAGAGCACACTATCATGGACACAGTATCATGAAATCTGTTGCAGTCCAAAACAATAAGTTTGTTTCCATCCACCTGTTTTTATGCGTATTTTCAATTTGAGCATAAGTTTCAATATCAGAAAGAAATATTATGGTTTGGCTGAAGCGGAGAAGTTTTGGAATTAGTTAAAAGAAAATGTGTTCAACTCCTAATACTCACAGAACAGTAGGGGATAAAAACACGAATTAATTAGCATTTTCTTTTGCCGATTATCTAGTAATCTGGGGTCCCTGACTAATTCCTCTGCAAAAGGTAATAATTATGTAATTTCTGTTGAAACTGTGCTAAAGAGGTGCTAATTCACATTCATATTTTTTTAAAAAAAAAGTTTTTAGAGCTATTGTTTTTCTTTCTTAGACTGTATTTTGTTTTAAGTGGTCTTTCTTGGACTGGTTTCTTGTTCAAGTGTGAGTGTTTGCACTGTATGTGAAAGCCTGTTTTCTTTTTAAGTATTAATTTCTTGCATGTTTCCTCCTACTCAGGTCTCAGCCATGACAACACCTGGATCGGGTTAAACGATCGTACAGTGGAGGACGACTTTCAGTGGACCGACAAGATGGACCTGGTGAGGAGGCAGCTGTGTGTTTTGTCTTTAGCCAGCTGTCGATCCCAGTGGAGTTTAAGGCCCCAGGGAAACTATACAAATTTGGAGGTGCTTGATATCGCAGCTGCAAACATCCTGAACAAGAATTTGCTGAGGAAAAAAGCATGATTTTGTGTTCTATTGTGATCTCCCAAAATATGTTCACCGTTACCTCTACCTGGTGATTTTCATGAAATACACAGGATGCACTTTTTGTGCCATTAAGGGTTGTTTTCTTAATTTCCATTATCACATGTGAAAACATCACACATGAATCAAAGGGAGATAAATAACGTTCTGCACAAAACTGATTATTGTGGAAAAAAGCAGACGTGTGATCAGTGTCTCACGTGAAGAAAATTATGTTTAATTGAAGTTTGAAAACCCTTTTTTTTGTCTAACCGTGCGTCTGCTTTCTGTGCAGCAATATGAGAACTGGCGTGAAAACCAGCCCGACAACTTCTTTGCTGGAGGAGAAGACTGCGTGGTGATGATTGCTCATGAGAATGGCAAATGGAACGACGTGCCCTGCAACTACAATCTGCCTTACGTCTGCAAGAAGGGAACAGGTGAGAACAACGAGGTGGATGTAGGGAGGGGAGAGTGTCGCAGAGTATGCTGTGACTTCAACAGGTGATTAAGATGACTGACAGAGAGATAAGGAGGTAAGGAGTAGCAGGATGTAAAGAAGGAAAAGTGGAAAAGAGGAAGAGGCTGCGAGGAGATTTGCGAGTGAGACGATGGAAGTAGAGAGAAGGAGGCAGACTGGGACTGAGAAAAGGGGCAAAGGAGAAAACCTTGCTGTGCTGTCACTTCTAAAGTCTGAAACTGCTCTTAAAACTATTTTTTTTATGTAAAGCAGCTCATAAGTGTTGCAGCCTATTTCTGACAGCACACGTACCTTCGGGGGATTCTGAACATCCTATGTCTTACTTAACATTACACACGTCTCTGTGCAAAGAAAGAGATTAGCACCGAACCTCTTCAATCAGTCCACGTCCTTCAGATTCACACTCATTACTGCTCACCAGCTTCTCTCATCATCCTCCAGGAGAACTTTAAAAAGTTCTCCACATACTCACATCACGGCTTCATTTCCTCTGCCAAATGTTTTTAAGGTAAAGCACATCTTGAGGCAGAATGTACTTTGTGCTTTATGTTCAGGAAATTTAAACTCAGCAAAATGAGGTGAGCAAACTTATTGGTTGGTTAAGTTCCCAGATACGCCACTGCCTCCACCTCATGTCCCCTGTTGCAGCTGTCCTTTCTTGGTGCTGGAGTTAGGACACCACAAGCTCCACTGAGAGCCTATTAGAGCTTATTTTTTGCCACTCATTTGCATACAGGTCAGAGTTATGACCAATGACAGGAAGACAGAATTATTATTATGTAGATGGAGGTTAGGAGGCAGGTTTAGAGAAATACTGGGACACAAAAAGCCACAGGTGGGGTATCCCAAAAACTTTCTCTAAAGCTTTGGACAAGACAAGCTTTGTTCTTTAGCTGCAGGCGTATGGATTTAAACTTTATACCGACTGACAAGCTTAAAGGGTAACTTTATAGGCTAGAGTCCAGGATATTTTTCAATCTGGACTCTATTTTCCCACATTTTTATGTTTAAGTAACAAACTGGAACAGCAGTTTTTTTAAGTTGGTCCAGTACTGACTGAGAGGGCTGCAGGCGGCATCCGCAAAACAGGCTGCAGTGTAACTCGGAGCATATACGCACCGTCAATTTATGTCTGCTATAAGTGCTTGTTTTTACCACTGGCAGGTTCAGATTACCATTGCTAGTGTCTGACAACATTAAAGAGACAGAGCTTTTTGTTTAAGAGTAACAAAGAAACTGCCCCAAAATCACTATCGCCACAACCGCCAGGCTCCATTCAAATAAACAGTATTTTTAGCGTATGTACAGCCATCATTTTTTGACATCTAAGTGGGTGGATTATGGGTTTATTTCAACCAACCCAGAGCTGGTTATTGTTGGAACAGTGGAAAGACAAACTGAGATGTTTTTGTGAGTTTTATTTTGTTTCTGTTGAGTTTGAGTGAAGTGTGTTTTATGATAATAAAATGACTGATTATTTAAATGGAGTCTGGTCAACCCGGTCTCATTCTGAAGTCGTCGAATACTGGCACTTGGTCAGCGACTTCCGCATCAGACTCTCCTTTTATGTTGGCATGATACATAGCCAGGTGCCATCAGTGTGTAATGGCACCTGACGGAGAAAAAAACGCAAGTAAAGGGGATGAAAATCCCACAAGGGTGGGTGGGTGCTAGTGGTCGTGGATGGGTCCAACAATGGCTGACTTTCACCTAGGAGGCTGGTGTTAGCTTCCTGTATGAATGTAAAGCCAAACTCTTATTTTTTCTAAACCTAACCATGTGCCTGCGTAGGCTAAACATAACCACATGTCTTTGTTGGTGAAAGAAAAAAAAAGTCAATTAGCCGTGTTATACTGATGGAGAACATTTATTTTGATAGAGACTGTAAGAAAACTGCACATTTCCTGTGAAAACTAAAGTGTATTGTGAAAAGACGCAAAGGCTACCTTGCATGTCATATGTAGACATGGAAAGTCCATGACTGAGTGCAGATATGTGACGAGGTTGGAGTGAGAATGTGTTGGTCTGGTTGCTTTCGTGGCCACAATGTCAGGGCTGTTTCTGGTTAAAAACCTCTTGTACTCCACCCCCATTTTGTACGCCTAAAATGACATACCCAAATTAAAATGACTGTAGCTTCTGAACCGCTCTGACTACATGCATGCATGAGGTCTTGCCAGAAAGAAAACTCCCTGAAGTTTCTTGTGAAAGTGTCAGAAACACTCTAGGTGATACAGAGACAGAGTAATGGGCCTCTGAATTCAGTAAAAAATTGAAGATTTTGCCTAAAATAAAATAAAAAAATGTTTTTCAGGATGAATAACTGTCTGTGGCTTCATCTGAGCAGGTAGGCACACTATCAGTGAACATGTGTTTCAAATTTGAAGAAGATTGCTCAAAGTATGACCATTCTACAGTGTTTTTTCCATGAAAAGATCCAGGCGGAGCTCCAAAAGACAAGTTGGTCACTTGGCTTCAAAACAGTACTATCAGTGATCAAACAACACTCAGCCAGCTTCAGACATTGTACCTTATTGGAATCATGTGTGATTATGATAGCTGATGTTGTTTTTGACACAGAAACACCATAAAATATCACCAAATAAAGCCAAATGAAACGTGAAAGTTATGATCCCACTTACTAGATGGTATATCTCAGCCAAAAATAGTGGTAGGAGTGAGACTCTTACCTTTTATAAACCAGCTACGTGCCTGCTAACAGCTCCACATAAGATCGTGAGTAATCCTTTAACATTTCCCGTCGAAAAACGGCATGACATGACTTGTCACCACTCATCGCAATTTTGTTTTGTTTTTTTTGTGTTTAGGCTGCTCTGGTGCGAAATACATAAGAAACAGAAGAAAAACGATGTTATTTTTGAAAAGTCGAGAGCTTCCTGAATCCGGCAATACCAAACATCACATGGTTTGATGACGTAGTGCGCCTGAGAGATGCCATTTAACAGAGGAGGGGGGAGCGAGGACATCGGCGTGTTCGAGAGGTTAGGATCTTACTCTTTGACAAAAAGGTCGATCTCTAGGAATCCTTTCCATAATGTTGTCAGACGCTCAGTCAGAGCCTGTCAGTGGCAAAAACAAGTACTTTTAGGAGGCGTTAATTAATAGTGTGAACACGTGTGGTTACATCACAGCATGTTTTCACAACTGCCATTTTCTGTGTTTAAGAACACTACAACAGAATAAAGCTCATTTCGGTATAAAAAACAAAAACAACCACAAAATCAGGATCCCTGATCTGGAGCAGCTCCAGACTTTATCCATCACAAGTCTGAGACTTCTCTGGTGTCTAGCTTTGAGAGAGAGTAGTTCAGGTTCACAAATATTGATTGAACTTTCCTACACCATGGAAATAACATACTGGAATGCTTAATTTAGCCGATGTTCCCCCTTTAAAGGTTATTCCTAAGCTGTAAGTGGGTGTGAAGTCGCTTGATAAATGTTTCTTATTTTTCACTTTCAGCAAGTAACTTTTTCAGCTCAAAAATGGATATGTTGATGGTAGATGAGGGTATTAGTCAGCACAAAATTTCACTAAATTAAATCTTGGTAGATTTGAAGTATTTTGTGGGGTTTTAAGGCTTTATTACAGACAGTAGAGAGATGACAGGAAATAAAGGAGAATGAGATGTAACAAAAGTCCCGAAGCAGGGTCGAACCAAGGAACTTCAGATTCGTGTTAACCTTAACTGTGAGGGTGCCCCTACGGAGTGTGTCTAACCTATAGTACCTTGTAGAGCTAAATGAAATTGTGTCATTGTTCCTCATCATCACTGAATATTGGATGAGCCGTAACATAAAAGCGTTAAAGGCCTTACCGATGGTCATTATGTTAATGTAAGCCAATTAATTGTGCTTTAACAGATGGTTTGTCATCACAGGCCACAAGCGTGGAGAGCGTACTTCTAAAGCTCCAGGCAACGAGCACGTCTCCTGAAACACCCTGCTCCACTCTTGTATGAGAGGAGAAGTATTTCCCTCACAAGCAAGGTGTTGCACCACCTCTGATGCACACTGTCACAAGTCCCCAGAATCCAGCCCACCTCTGACCTTAATCAGTCAGCTACAATCACCAGCGTCTTTTCATCTTCCCCCCGCCTCCCCGACAGCCTCTTCTTTCATACTGAGTAACCCCATGTAATGTCTTGTCTTATCAGTGGAGTTTATCAGCTCCACGCTGAGTATTCTCCGCCCGCTTTCCAACGCTCACAGCTCAAATGTGATCTGTCTGCCTGCTCATCAGCAGTCTCTGGGCCTGATTAGGCGATAACAGCACTATGCGAGCCTATCGGACATCTCAATCAGTTGCCCAGGGGCCAGTCCGGGTGGTGTGTCATGCAGATGGTGGTGATATTTTTGTCATATTACTGAAAAGAGATGAGACGATGGTCAGATCTCGGGGAAAGAGAGCGACTCATCACCCGTATTATTTGTACAGCCAGCTCACACAAGCCTGCAATCATTAATCACACATACTGTTGAACGTGTTAAACTTGCTGATTGGTCACGGCTTCTGATTTCCTACTTCAAAAATTGCCAAAAATCTTTACTTTGAGCGTATAATTGTCAATTTTGGTTGATTTTGCTTTCAATAGCTTGACATCCATCATCCTGTAACAAATCTTTTTTTTTTTTAAGATGTTTTTTGGGGCATTTTTAGCCTTTAATGGATAGGACAGACAAGTGTGAAAGGGGGAGAGAGAGAGGGAGTGACATGCAGCAAAGGGCCACAGGCTGGAGTCGAACCCGGGCCGCTGCGGCAACATCCTTGTATATGGGGCACCTGCTCTACCACTAAGCCACCGACGCCCCATCCTGTAATGAATCTGTTAATTTTTCGGGACAAAAAACAATGCAAAAAGATGTGAAATACAAGAGGCCTTTTGTATTTCACAAGGAGAAAAATAGATGTAATGAATAAAGTTGGCACAGACCAAGTTT